TCTCTCTCTCTCTCTCTCTCTCTCCCCCCCCCCTACGTCGCGCCAAGAAGCAACGACGGTATCTTCTTTTGTTTCGTTTTTTTTATTGTCTTTATAATTTTATTTTTTTTCGTGAGTAACACCCCGTACTTGCCGGGCTCCGGCCAAGAAGGAGCGACCGGGCCTTCCCTTGGCCGACCTCCCTAAGGCTGCGGCGCATATACGGGAAGGCCCGCGGCCGATAGCTGAGCGAGGTACTGGTGGTTTAATACCTGGGCATAGAAGAAAACAAAGGAAGAGTGCACCAAACAAAACGTACGCCCAGATACGGAATACTAATGACTAAATACAATCAAGATTGCTGCCAGTGACACCAAAGCACATAGCAGGAGCTTGAAAGAGGGTGACAGTATTTCCAGATATTATCGTGCACAATAGTCATGAAGTAAGCCACTCATAAGGAGTAAAAAAACCATGGCTGGGTTAATGCACTCTAAATATTTCGTGCTAGAGAGTGGCTTAGTTAACACTCAGGGCTTAGTTAACACTCAGCGCCCTGAATTCCAACAGAGATGCTCCCACCACCACCAGAGGAACTCCCACTCCCATTGGTGGCACCGCCGCCCGTAGAGCTTCAGGTCTTCATGCTCGCAGTCGAGATAGTCAACAGTAGTTCTCACGTGCTCCTCCCAACACCAGTCCCACCACCACCGGCTGCCCACCCACTGCCTCCAGAGGTGCCGCTGTTGGATGTGCCCGCTGTCCCGTACTGGACTCACTCTCCCTTCGTTGTGTTCACACTGCACTCGTTACTTGACTATTGTAGATTCTGTTGAAGGATGTCTGTTGTAGGATGTCTGTTGTAGGATGTCTGTTGTAGGTGGAGTTGGAATCGCCCTGCTCCCTGGTATTCCACAGGGAGACACAGCCCCTTGTCGGAGCTGAGCGCGATGGCCGAACCTAGAGATCGTCGAGGAAAACACCGTTCCGCCCCACACCCCGAATCCCACCCTCGCTGCCGACGCAGAGCGCTGCCGTCTCCGGACAGCAAGTATGCCGGGTAGCACAGCGCTTCATCGGGTTGTGTTCCTTTGAGGGCATTTTCGCGCTAGCAATTTCCAGAATGTATCGGACCGCAGTGGGGGGAGTACGCATACCACAAAGAAGTGGAAGTGCATATCCTTCAGAAGCTGCAACCCTCATCATGACTCTGAAGGTACTCGGAAAAAAAAAAAAAAAAAAAAAAAAGTTAAAAAACACCGAATGGTTCAGGGCATTTCCACGCTAGCACTTCCCAGAATGCATCGGACCAGCCTTAATGGGGAGAGGCGTGTGTCCATTGATGTACTGATTACTGATCATACATGCAGCTCATCACGTGCGTGCAAGTTGCGCACATGCGCGATGCAGCACAATTCCAAGAAATAATAATAATAATAATAAAGGGCAGGCTGTGGTAACCAAATGTGCGCCTCTTTTGAAAATTCTAACTGCACAGAAAAAAAAATAATTTCATTATGGTATTACGGGGAACCCCGTAGCAGCCACATCCGTGCTCAAGCCTCCAACGAGGGAACATGCGGGAGCTGCACCCACCAGCAGGTGCGATACCTGCTACAGCAGGTGGGCGATACCGGCCAGAGGTCAGCAGATAGCATCAGTACGGAGCTGCTTCGATGGGCCAGTCACTGTGCCTCCCCTCCGGTCCCCTCCCCCTATGAACATCAGCAGTCGCTGCTCAATGCCACTCAGGGGGACCAACGGCATATCTCTAGGTGGAGGGCGCCAAAGGGGAGACATGGTACTCCTCATTGGATTTAGTCTCTTTCCCAAAGGGTTTCCTGCAAAGAAATAGCAGGGATCCCTTTCATTAGGTAGAACGTGCATTAGAACTGCTGGAGGAACACGAGCAGGCCAGCAACATTGCTCTCGACTGCCTTGAATGGGCTGATAGAGCTCGTGAAGGTACCACACTTCAACCTTCGAGCAATTGGGCAGCTGAAAGGTGAAATCGAGAAGGTGAACGAACATGGGGTTGAAAGCGGGCTGGACTTCGAAGCACGAACATATGATATAAAGGAAATGTTCACGCAGCTGCCACATAGTGAAATCTGCAGTGCGGTACAATGGATCGTGAGCGTGTTTCGAAAGGAAGGGGTTAAATGGATCCGGATCAACTCCCGAAAAAAGCAGGCAATATTCGGGAAATCACATGGAGAAGCTGGATGGAAATCAGTCAGACTAAGTGTGTTAATAACTTTGACTAACTTCCAGCTTGATAACACCTTTTTCCGAGTGTGTGACTCTGTACTAAAGCAGAAACAAGGGATTCCGATGGGGGGCAGAGCTAGCCCTCCACTGGCCTGCATTATGTGCATGTTCTCCGAGTACAAGCTCCTTCGGTCATTACTCGCGGATTCTAAACTCATCACGGGGAAGAGATATATTGATGACCTGTTAGTTGTCTCTTTCTTCAAGAAAAATGACTCCGTGTCCAAGCGCAGAGCTAGGGAGCGTTTTGACCTGGTTACTCGGTGCTGCCCAGATGGGCTACTGCTCGAAAGAACCGATACTGGCCTGGGAATTTTCGACTTCCTGGAAACTAGGCTGCTGATATGTGGGGAACCAAAAACTATTATCAGGTCTCACAAGTTTAAGAATGGGGGCTCAATTTGGGGGAATGAGGACTTGCGATTCAGAACGTATAAGGACTTTAGATCCTTTGGGCCGCACAAGGCAAAGTTTGCCACAGTGGCAAACACCATCTTACGAATCTCACGGAATTCGAACAACGCGGGGGTCACCCTGCTCAATATATTAAAACTCACATCATCTTCTTCTGGATTATTGTGTTTTATGCTTGAACAGATTCTGTATTCGGATTTAGGTCTGTGTTCCAAGAGTTATGGGTTACGAACTTACTCCAAACACTACAGTTACTGTAGCTGTCTCGGTTATTTTGTTTTTCCTTTCCTTACTTGCAGTGGCCCTAAGGGCCTTGCTCCACTGATCAGCACTTGCACAAAAGAAAAACATATGGCTTGTATGGTTCCAGTTTCTAGGAGAAGATTCATTCTAGTTTTGCGCATTTGGTGAGTAGTGGAGTGAAGCCCTGAAAATCACATGCGGAGTCAGTAAGTGTTGCATATCAGAAAGTAAAATGCACTAACAGCCTAGGATCTAGCAATGATGAAAGTGGCAACAACCAGCAGCATAGATGCAACATTCACCAGATGTCAATGTGCACAATGCAACAAGTAAACCAACGAGAAAAACAACAACAACACATTTGCATCATCATCATCATGGGCTGGGGAACAGCGCAGCGGAATAACAGTAACCAAGAGGACACGTGGACAACAACAGGAAAGGGAGAAACTTCGGAAGGGCAGGACATAAGATTGCCCTTCCGCTCACACACATAGGGAGAGATCCATAGACATGCGAGAGAGAAGGGGGGAGGGACATAGGAGGTAACCAAGTCCAACCCAAATCTGATCTCCGAATGTCGTGCACAGTTCAATCCCAATGTAGCGTGTAAGTCCGGTCCGAATGTCGTGTCCAATAAGGCAGAATGCCGTGTCCAAACAATGTCTGCATTCACCTCTATCTCTACTCTGATCAAGAAGAAGAAGGAGAAGAAGAAGTAGAGGAAACAACTGTGGAGGAGTAGGAGGAGAAGAGGAGAGGAGAAGAAGAAGAAGAAGAAGAAGA